AGAAAGGCTAATACCTGAAGGACACTACCAAGACGTTCCACGACGAAGACCAAAGCAAAACTAAGCGCTCCAAAGAAGATACTAATCCATCTAGCATAAATTGCGCCTTTTCTGGCTGGCATCTCCATTTTGAACAATCCCTGAAGGATATCTTCGCAGGTTATGGCTGCCAGAGAGTTCAGAGCGCTTGCTACGGTTCTGTAAACATTTTTCAACCTATGTTTTATCACTTTGCGATTATTAATACCATTATTAATTGAGAAGCCTAACAAAGAAACTCTATGAAAGGAGTATTCTTTTCTTCAAGATAATAATTGTTCAACACACCCCAAAGAGGCAGCAAAGATCCCAGCAACAAAAAACCCAGACACTCCCTTGAGGCCACCCATGAAATTCATAACGTACAGTGGCAATAATTGATCCTGGCTGCTTATATAGTTAGCCAGGAGAGGATCACAGTCTTTGTACTTGCTGTAGAGCACCATACCAGTCAGGAAGTTCACGGTGTATATTATAATCATGCCAAAAGCTGATACCCATAACGCTCTGAAATAAACATGAAAATTGAAACAATCTAGAACTTATAGATATACTGGGTATTGTTTAATAAATTTTTGAATATTCTCACGTTCTAACTTGGCCAATGCTTTCTACGCTAAGGTACTTTTGGACGGAAGCTTGATTGCTGCAGAACATGCTAGTCCAATAAATGGTCCCACCAATCACCACGCTCCAGAAGCTGTGCCTGACAGTTGGGCTGGGATCCATATTGAAGAACTCCATTCTTCCTGATTCCTGGTTGACTTGCCATACCAAGGAGGGTCCTCCTTCCCAGGAGAGGCCGTATCCAACAATCAGAAAGAGGGAGCCAAGAAGCACCGCTGCTTGGAATGTATCTGTCATTATGACAGCCTTCATTCCACCCTAAAGCGAAAGAGGATGAATACACTTCTTTAATTTCTAATTAACAGCCATTTAGCAAAAGAACTAGAAATTAACATTTCAAAGAAAAGTGTGGAAGATTCAGAAGAAGAGAAACGGCTGATAAGATGGATCTTAAGAAACAAATAACGAAAGATGGTTAGAGGTAAAAAATGGAAGCTTCTGAAGAAGCAAGAATAAAAATGCTTTGGAAGTCAAAGGTGATTGATCTCTGCTTATTTTTCAGGTCTTTGAAACCTTTCAAATAAAGGGAAGAGATGTTAAAAATTGTAAGGATCAAGAGAAACATCAAAGGACAAGGAAAGAAGACAATACCTGTGATGCGTAGAAGATACAGACTACGTAGACTAGAGTGACGGCTATATAAGTATTGAGGCCCGTGACTGTAAGAAGAGATGGCAAGTTAATCAAGAGGATGGACGCAGTTTAATTGAGTCGAGTCGCGTTTCGCCGTTGCTCACCGTGACTTAAAGCTAACGCTGGCGCATATACAGCCACGGATGTGTAGAGTATCATCTGCAGCATGTAAAGGCCGCCAGCGAGTAGTCTGCAATGCTGGTCGAAACGAAGATTGAGATACTCGTAGCTTGACGTTAATCTCAGCTTCATGTAAACCGGCAAGTACAGACAGGAGGTAATGGGCACAACCAAAATGAAGGCCAGGCATGTCATCCAGAATTGAGTACCCTGAGATTTTTTTAAACGAATGTCTCGATATAAAGAAATAAGAATCTTCTAAAGAAATTAGAATTCTACGAATCAGTATATCGCATTGAAAATGTATATCTAAGTCTATTCATTCTCTTCATTTCTTCTTTATTCAAACGTCTTAAGATTCTTTCTTAGAATCCATGAAAAGCAATGGAACACACAAGAAAGATAATAACGTTACGTCGAATTTTCATAATCCTCGATTG